TCGGGAGCCAGCAGGTGATAGCTTGAGTTCTTGGGTCCCTGCTACCCAAACAAGAAAGCCCCATCAGGTTCCAAGCTCCTACTTTTGGTCTGGCCTAGGCTCCTAGTTTTGGTCTGGCCCAGTCCTGGCCATTTGGGGAGTGAAACAGTGGATGGAAGATCTCTCTGTCTCTCCTCCTCTGTCTATAACTCTGCCTTTTAAACAAACAAAAAATAAATCTTACAAAAAGAAAAAGAAGTCTTGGATGAGTTTAATTGTCATGAGCATACATATGAAGAATTTCTGCGCATTTGTACTTATCTTTCGAAAGTGGATAATGTGACCAAACAGGAACATATGGAACCAATTCTTCAGAAAAGATGTTCACCTCAATAAAATTTACTCAAAATGAACCAAATGATCTCCAACTCAGAACTAAACCATCTTTCTTTGTATTCCATCACAATGTTGGGAAGAACAGATAATAACAGGTGAAGGACAAGAACTTCACAGTTCCCAACAAAGTGATCTGAATTGAGCAGGAAAGGGGAAGACAACTTTCTAGATTTAGAAAACCTGGACATGGATGAAAAGATTAAGCACCACATGAGCCACAATTTGCGGCCGCTTCCAAGAGCAGTGGCACAGGAGGTAAGTACCGGTTTTACTTTTTTTAAAAAAAACTTTATTTATTTATTTGAAAGTTAGAGTTACACAGGGAGAAGGGGGGGGGGGAGAGAAGGGATCTTCCATCTATGGGTTAATCTCCAAATGGCCATAATCACCAGGGCTGGCCAGGCCAAGCCAAAAGCCAGGAGCTTCCTCCAGTCTCCTACAGGAGTACAGGGATCCAAGCACTTGGGCATCCTCCACTGTTCTCCCAGGTGCAACAGCAGGGAGCTGGGTCAGAAGTGGAGCAAATGGGACTTGAACCAACACTCATATGGGATGCAGCACTTAAGGCCCTGCTGCGCCACAGCACTGGTCCCAGTGTTCCTTCTTATAATCTTTCCCTGGACCAGACTCTCACCCTTGAAGTGAAGCCAAAACCCACCATAAAAATAACAGAAAAGCAAATGGAAGAGATACTTGGAAATGAAGTTATCTTTTCACTTGATGAACAATTTGATTATGACACAGTGACTCTAACTCACAAGTTAGAGACAGAGACCATCAAAGAGGTATGCAAGCAAAAAAGAATATCAACACAGATGAAGAGGAACCCTGTGATTGATTTATAGGGCATCTTTGTGTTTATTTTTACTTTGTTCTTACTCAAGTAACATTAGAATAAAAGACAAAAATCTCATATTAAAAAGGTTTTGTGGCTAGCGCTACGGTTCAATAGGCTAATCCTCCTCCTGCGGCGCCAGCACACCGGGTTCTAGTCCCGGTCGGGGCGCCAGATTCTGTCCCGGTTGCCCCTCTTCCAGGCCAGCTCTCTGCTGTGGCCTGGGAGTGCAGTGGAGGATGGCCCAAATGCTTGGGCCCTGCACCCGCATGGGAGACCATGAGAAGCACCTGGCTCCTGGCTTCAGATTAGCACGGTGCACCGGCCACAGCGGCCATTGGGGGGTGAATCAACAGAAAAGGAAGACCTTTCTCTCTGTGTCTCTCTCTCTCACTGTCCACTCTGCCTGGCAAAAAAAAAAAAAGGTTTTGTAACAGGCAGCAAAAATACATACATATGTGTGTGTGTGTGTGTGTGTGTGTGTGTATATATAACTTGTATCAACACTACAATCCTCTTATCTCTTCTGAAAAATCTCCTAGACTACCAATCTAGTACTACTTTTCATAAAGAATTCATAGGGGAAAAACACCTCTGTAGTTTATTTTCTAACTTCTCTATTAGAATAGAATTTTAAAATTATAAAAACTAGGGGCTGGCGCCATGGCTCACTTGGCTAATCCTCCACCTGCAGTGCTGGCATCCCATATGGGCGCCGGGTTCTAGTCCCGGTTGCTGCTCTTCCAGTCTAGCTCTCTGCTGTGGCCAGGGAAGGCAGTGGAGGATGGCCCAAGAATTTGGGCCCCCATACCTGCATGGGAGACCAGGAGGAAGCACCTGGCTCCTGGCTTCGGATCGGTGCAGCACCAGCTGTGGTGGCCATTTTGGGGGTGAACCAATGGAAGGAAGACCTTTCTGTCTCTCTCTCTCATTGTCTAACTCTGTCAAATAAATAAAAAAAAATTATAAAAACTAGAAGGGTGGGCATTGCGGCACAGCAGGTTAAGGGGCCAGTTGGTGTACCTAAATCCCATAGTGGAGTACCTGAGTTGCTCCCAGCTATTCCACTTCCATTCCAGTTCCTGCTAATAATATGCATTCTGGGAGACAGCACATGATGGTTCAAGTACTTCAGTCCCTGTCAACCTCATGGGAGACCCAGATGGAGTTCCAGGCTCCTAGCTATGGTTGGCTCAGCCTGGGCTATTGTGGGCATCTCATAAATGAACCAGTGGATGAAAGATTTCTCTCTCCCTCTGCCACTCAGTCTTTATAATAAATAAAAACAAATGGATAAACATTTTCAAAAACTAGAGACTATGTTTCATCATGTTACTAAATGGAAATATAATTAATTTAACACAGAAAATCAAAGCTTTTAAAATATTTATGTTTCCGAGTAGGTGCTTAGCCTAGCAGTTAATATGCCCATGTCCCACAACAGATTGCCTGGATTCAACTCCCAGCTCCAGCTCCTGACTCTAGCTTCCTGTTAACGCAGGGTCTGGGAGGCAACAGATGATGGCTCAAGTGATTGGGTTCCTGTCACCCAGGTGGGAGACCTGGATTGAGTTCCTGGTTCCTGGCTGCAGACCTAGTCTCAACCACTGTAGGCATCCGGGGAGTAAATCAGCAAATGGGAGCTCTGTCTCTCTGTCAAAAATCAAAACAAAACACCAAAATTGCCTTTCAATGTAGTAAAGCATAATCTCTGCTTCTTTGGCCTGGCTTGGATCATCTTCAAGTAGTTGCTCAGCAATGGCTTGGTCATCTGTAAATATTGAAAGCATCACTGGAAGACATTTACGGTAATAATCAACAGAAAAATAACAAACATTTATATGTTTAACAAAAACTTATTGCTGTGGATATTAACAGCACCAACCTCTCCCTAAACTGAGTGGCCTCCCTGTCCCTATGCTCCTTATTTTCAAGTCTGTTCTCATTGGTTCATGAAGTCTATTCTTTACCAATTATCTGTAATCTGTTGAAGAAAGAAACCCATAGGGAAGCTAAAAGAAATAAGTATATTTTTGCTGTCTTTAAACTCAGCCTAGGAAAATCCCATTCTACAGCTTTCTGGAAATAAAAACATCTTGCATTATTTGTGCTAATTAAAAAAAATAGGCCAGCACCATGGCTCAATAGGCTAATCCTCCACCTAGCGGCGCCGGCACCCTGGGTTCTAGTGCCAGTCAGGGCACCAGATTCTTTCCCGGTTGCCCCTCTTCCAGGCCAGCTCTCTGCTGTGGCCCGGGAAGGCAGTGGAGGATGGCCCAAGTGCTTGGGCCCTGCACTGGCATGGGAGACCAGGAGAAGCACCTGGCTCCTGCCTTCAGATCAGCGCGGTGCGCTGGCCGCAGCGCGCCAGCCATGGCGGCCTTTGGAGGGTGAACCAACGGCAAAAGGAAGACCTTTCTCTGTCTCTCTCTCTCCCTATCCACTCTGCCTGTCAAAAAATAAATAAATAAATAAATAAATAAATAAATAAATAAATAAATACTGAGGGGCCGTGCTGTGGTGTAGCAGGCTAAGCCTCAGCCTGTGGTGCTGGCATCCCGTGTGGGCACCAGTACATGTCCTAGCTGCTCCTCTTCCTATCCAGCTCTCTGCTAATGGCCTGGGAAAGCAGAAGATGGCCTAAGTACACCCATGTGGGAGATCCAGAAGAAGCTCCTGGATCCTGGCTTTGGATCAGCCTAGCTCCAGCCATTGTGGCCATTTAGGAAGTGAACCAGTGATGGAAGATCTCACTGTATCTTCCTCTCTCTGTCTATAACTCTACCTTTCCAATAAATAAATAATCTAATAAGTAAATAAATAAAAACTGAAAAATTACCATGCAAATCTTTGGTTTTCTGAATTTGCTCTACAAAGTCTGGAAAGGAGCTGCTCATATCAGATTTCACCCATAAAGAAAATGCATAGGAAATGATCTGCAGTCTTTGATGACTAAAAAGGTAAAAAAAAATCAACAACTTGAGTCCAAAATCAATTGGTAAACTATCAGAATAACACAAGCAAAAGGATCAAATTTTTAAAACATATAATCAACTTGCATACCTAAACTGTAATTCTTTGTTCAGATTTTCAGCTATATCTCGCCGTTTTAGTAGCATAATCATTTCTTCATCTAAATCAACCTTCCTCTGAATTGGTATATATTTTATTGACATATCCTGCTTTATTTCTTCATATTTTTTTTCAAGATATTTCATGTGCTTAGTGAGTGCATCTAGACTGACGGACTCTCGGAGTGTCATGCCTGTAGGAAAAGGAAATAAATCAAACCAGCTAAGCCATTTGTGGAACTCTTGTGCTCAAACAGAAAGTCTTAGCAAGATAGTCAGATGGTTCACTATGTTAAGAAATAATTCAGAAATAGGGGCCAGCATTGTGGTATAGCAGATAAAGCCACCACCTATGATGCCAGCAGCTTGGGTCCCTGGCACCCATGTAGGAGACCTGAAGGCTCCTGTCTTCTGTCTAGTCCAGCCCTGGCTGTTGTGAGACCTTTTGGGGAGTGAACCAGCAGGTGGAAGATCTTTCTCTCTCTCTCTCTCCCTCTCTCCCTTTCAAATAAATAAAATAAATCTTAAAAAAAAGAAACAATTCAGAAATGGTAGCATATAGATATAGATATAGATAGCTTACTAAACATAAGTAGAATTAGCATAAAATTCTAAGTAGCTAACAGTTTTACACAAAATTAATGATGATTCAGTGCGGTGATTGTTCTGAGAACACACAAACTTTAGCAGCTGAAAAAAAAAATTGCTAGTGACCCCATCACCACACCCTGAAAACCCCTAAATATCACTATTGCTCATAACACCAAGAGCCTCTGCCCAACAATTCAGGATTTCACCAACAGATTTCTCTTTAATCAAGTCTCCCATTGCTCTTATACATAGTGAACTCCAGGACAATCAGTTTATTCTTTCAAACACAAAACTTGGACGAGCCTGCTGCAACTTTCACTGCCTTCCTTTCTCACCCAGGCCGCTTGTTGACTTTAACGCACCCCTCAAAATTGTCTTCCTCTAGAAACCGCCCTGGATGAACACTGCTGGACTTTAATCATCACCTTATTCTAAAGCTTCTCAGCCTGTAATCAATCTGCCAGTCACTTTCTATTTATCTGTATGTGTCTTAAAAAATATATTTGCCTCCCTGTAACTTTGCCTTTCAAATAAATGAAGCTTTAGAAAAATTATATATATATATATACATACATCTTTGTTTATTTAATTTGAAAGTCAGAACTATAGTGAGAGAGGGAGAGACAGATCTTTCATCTATGGTTCACTCCCTAAATGGCCACAATGACTGGGGCTGGGCCAGGCTGAAGCCAGGAGCTTCTTCCAGGTCTCCCACGTGGATGGCAGAGGCTCAAGCACTTGGGCCATCTTCTGCTGCTTTTCCCAGGCCATTAGCAGAGAAGTGGATTGGAAATAGAGCAGCTGGGACAAGAACCGGCACTCACATGGATGCTGGCACTGCAGGCAGCAGCTTTACCTGCTACACCACAATGGGAACACCAACATCGCACATAGAAGTGCCTGAGTTTGATTGCTGGATACATTTCCAATTCTAGCTTCCTACGAATGTGCAGTCTTGGAGGTAGCAGGTAACAATGCTCAAGTATTCAAGTCCCCATAACCCATATGAAAGACCCAGATTGAGTTCCAGGCTTCTGGCTTCAGCCTGGCCCAGCCTTGGCTGTGGCAGGCATCTGGGGAGTGAATCAGTAAATGGAAGATCGATCTCTGTCTCTTGCCATCCCCTGCTGTGTGTGTATCTGTCTCTCTGCCTTTCAAATTAACAAAAAAAATTTTTTTCAAAAAAGTTTTCCACCTAGTGATTTTGCCTCTAGACAAATACTAACCAAAATCTTCAAAAGTTGTAGATACCATTATCTATTTTTAAAATCTCTCCTTTCCCCTAGGATATTTGTAATTCCTCTATCCATCACACAAACTTAAACTTGTTCTTTTCTTTTTTTTAAACTTATTGATATCCTAGATGCATTCCAGAACATATTCACTTTCTTAAATGTGATAACTGAAGATGTGGGATGAGAAGGCAGTGGCATGGACATGTATCTACAGTGTTCACCAGAACCTTACAATTTTCCATACTATACCAGTGGTTCTCAAACTTTAGAAAGTATCAGAACCAACCTGGACAACTGGACCCAACCACCATGATGAGGACCCAGCATGTCTGTGCAGGTTCCCAGGTGATGTTCTTGCTGATGCGGGAAGTACACTTTAAAAGTCACTGCAGGCTGGCGCCGCGGCTACTCCTTCGCCTGCGGCACCAGCACACCAGGTTCTAGTCCCGGTCGGGGCGCCGGATTCTGTCCCGGTTGCTCCTCTTCCAGGCCAGCTCTCTGCTGTGGCCTGGGAGGGCAGTGGAGGATGGTCCAAGTACTTGGGCCCTGCACTCGCATGGGAGACCAAGAGAAGCACCTGGCTCCTGCCTTCGGATAGGCGCAGTGCGCCAGCCACAGCGCGCCGGCTGCGGCGGCCACTGGAGGGTGAACCAACAGCAAAGACCTTTCTCTCTGTCTCTCTCGCTCACTGTCCACTTTGCCGGTCAAAAAAATAAAAAATAAAATAAAATAAAAAGTCACTGCATTATACTTCACGTAGCCCAGTCAGATGGGAATGCTCTCATCTTTCAGAGCTGCTTAAAGATTTCTCTCCTTGTTATATCTACCGATAGCCCTGACCACATCTGAGTGCATAGCATACACTTGGAAGATGCACACGCATCAGAACATTTGTATCAGTTTCTGTAATGAGAAAAAACTGGACACAGCTGGGATTTCTCCCACATATTTTAAACAAAGTGCAGTACCTGGAATACGTGTTGATGGATCTTTAGAGAAAGTACAATATGGTGTTTCTTTTGAATAATACTCTTCCCTAAGCTGTTTAATCTGATCTATTTCCAATTGGATTTTTGAGGAATTGTTTTCAATAATTCTCATCCTGAAAAACAAAAACAGAAAGGTTTTTGTCTCTTTCAACTATTTTAATCTTTAATTCATGACTTAAAACAGGTTAAATTATTACTTCATTTTGACTAATTATCATTTTGAACCATTATAGAGTAGGTAGAAGTTTAAAAAGCAATGATGTAGGCCGGCGCCGCGGCTCACTAGGCTAATCCTCCGCCTAGCGGCGCCGGCACACCGGGTTCTAGTCCCGGTCGGGGCGCCGGATTCTGTCCCGGTTGCCCCTCTTCCAGGCCAGCTCTCTGCTGTGGCCCGGGAGTGCAGTGGAGGATGGCCCAAGTGCTTGGGCCCTGCACCCCATGGGAGACCAGGAAAAGCACCTGGCTCCTGGCTCCTGCCATCGGATCAGCGCGGTGCGCTGGCAGCAGCGCGCCGGCCGCGGCGGCCATTGGAGGGTGAACCAACGGCAAAGGAAGACCTTTCTCTCTGTCTCTCTCTCTCACTGTCCACTCTGCCTGTCAAAAAAAAAAAAAAAAAAAAAAAGCAATGATGTAAAAACTTAACTAGCCTCACAAATGAACATTTTTTTTTTCACAGCATTAATAAAATCTCCTACTATGATTCTTAACCCTATTGGAAATCCTTAACTGTTAAATATAATAACCTGACCAAAGTATTGTTTATTCCCCATAGTGGAAAAGTACTTCTGCAATTTAAATTTTGTATATGTGTACAGTTGCCTGTAGATGTTGTAACAAATTATTATAAATTCGGTATCTTAAAAAATGAGTTTTTTTTTAAAGTCAAAAAAAAAAAAGAGGAATTTATTCTTTTACAGTCTGGAGGTCATAAGTCCAAAATCAGTATCACTGGGCCAAAACCAAAGTGCAGTCAGGGCCATGCTCCACAGGACAATCAGTTCTTTGCCTCCTCTAGCCTCTAGGGGCTGCAAGTGTTCTATGGCTGTATCACTTCAATCTTGAACCACGGTCACAAGCCTTCCCCTCGGCCCCTGTCAAATCTCCCCCTGCCTTCCTCTTATAAGTGCATTTGTCATTATATCTAGTGCCTAACTGGATCATCTCCCTATCTCAAAATCCTAAATTTTTTTTTTTTTGACAGGCAGAGTGGATAGTGACAGAGAGACAGAGAAAAAGGTCTTCCTTTGCCGTTGGTTTACCCTCCAGTGGCCGCTGCGGCCCGTGCGCTGCGGCCAGCGCACCGCGCTGATCCGAAGGCAGGAGCTAGGTGCTTCTCCTGGTCTCCCATGGGGTGCAGGGCCCAAGCACTTGGGCCATCCTCCACTGCCCTCCCAGGCCACAGCAGAGAGCTGGCCTGGAAGAGGGGCAACTGGGACAGAATCTGGCGCCCCGACCGGGACTAGAACCCGGTGTGCCGGTGCCGCAAGGCGGAGGATTAGCCTTTTTGAGCCGCGGCACTGGCCAAAATACTAAATTTTTAAATTATATACATTTATTTATTTGAGAAGAAAGGTAACAAAGAGAGAAACAAAGAAAGAGGGAGAGAGAAACAGAGATCTCACACCCACTGGTTCACTCCCCAAATGTCAGCAATGGTGAAGTTAGGCTGGCCAGGCTGAAGCAGGAAGCTGGGAACTCAGTCTGGGTCTCCAATGTGGGTGGCAGGAACACAACTACTTGAGCTGTCACTTGCATTAGCGGGAAGCTGGAAGCAGAAGTAGAGCCAGGACTTGAACCCAGGCACTCTGACAAGGTATGTATATGTCCCAAGCAGTATCTTAATGGCTGTGCCAAACACCTATCCCAAAATACTTAATTTAATCACAGCTGCAATAACCTCTTTTCCAAACAATATTAACACTTAATTGGTCCCAGGGATTAGGACCTCACATCTTTAGTGTCACTGTTCGGTACCTTTGATCCTAGACGAAGTACAGCATAAAAGATAAAACTGAGTTCATCCCAGCAGTGGGAATGGTTACAGAACAAGAGGCATGGTAGGCATTACTTGAAGTTTACCTCCTACTTATGTTGGCCCAGGAAAGAAAACACAGGCTAAAATAAATTAGGCATTGTTACAGAAATGACACTTTTTAAAGAACAGCAACTAAGACTTTGTGTAAGAGGAGGCTGTGGAAAGACATATAAGGACTACTACAGTGGGGCTGTTCAGCAAGGAAGGAAAATCTGGCTCAACTTCAAATAGAGCATGGGCAGGTGGGAATTTACAAGCAAGGATAAGGGTGGGAGTCACCGGACAGAAAATTACCGAGAGGACATATCAGGGGTGAGGAGATGATCTGGCTAAATTTTCCTAACAGGAGTCTTGATAAAGGCAGGCCAGGATGATTAGATATGCCCTGGAGAATGGTCAGGATGAGGAATTTGGTAAGATTTTTGAGGATGATCAACCACCAAGGGTGAGGACCTGTTTAAATGATGGGGTCACTGTTAACACAGGACGAATATGGATGAATGTGGAAGTCCAACAGTGAAGTTTACTTGAAAAAGTTCAGGGAAGGCTGAGCAGAGTTCAATCAGGTAGAAAATCTGTCAAGCATAATAAATGTCACGGCGTTTGTAGCGAATTAAAAACCAGTTCGTCAGCAGAAAACTGATGCCTGCTTTCAATTATTACAGAGTTCTTGGTAACTACAGTTGACTCAGAGTAAAAACCTGGAAACTTACAAAAGAGGAATAACGGAATAAAATATCCTTTGCCTTTCTCCCAAATAAATTTGTGTTTATAGAAAAAAGATGTTACAAGTAAACAGACTTTCAAAATAATTTAAACCAGGGACTCAGACACTTGTATATGAATATTCACAGTGACTCACAATGGCCTGAGTTGGAAACCCAAGTGCCCATTAATAGATGAATGGGTAAACAAAAAGTGGTGTATCCATAAAATGAGATATTGATTGACCATAAGAAGAAAGGCAGGTCAATACATGTCACCACATGTATAAGAAGCCTGACCGCTGCTCCCTTCTATGCTACTGCTATGCTCTCTCTAGTTTTGAAAACGTCACTATGGTGATTCTAGTTGATTGTTTTTCAGCATTTATCATGCTTGGGATTCCTTGAATCTGTGAATTTGGGATCTTTCACCAGTTCTAGAAAATCCTTAGCCATTGTCTCTTTATAATTCAATGAATGTTAGAATATTCAGAGTTGTGCAACTGACACCACTATTTAATTTTAAAACACTTCATCAATTCAAAAATAAGCCTTATATTCATGCGTGGTCTGCTTGATGGAACAAAGACATAAGCCGTAGCTATTCTCGCTCATTGCCCAAAAGATAGATAAACACTCGAATTTATTCCTTGCCCTTAAATCTCAATTGGGTCTCACACCCCATTGCCTTTACACCCCCACCCCTACCCTCCAGGTTCCCAAGGCCCTGCACTGCCACCTGAAAGACCAGTTCCAGGAATTCACTTCCACTGCCCCCTACCCCACACCCATCCCCAGCCCTCCTAAAATGTAAAAAGGCCCGCCCCTGGGGTCAGGGTCTTCTGCCATGTGTTCCATCAATGTGCACATCAGCAGTTGGTCACCCACCTCTGCGAATTTATTTTCTCTGAATAAATTCGGTCTGGCTGTAGATTCGTACACTGCCTCCTCTCTATTCTGTGCCTCTTTTCCTAACACTGCTGAGCAGAAGGCAATTTTTCATGCAGACCTCAGGGGTAGGGCAGTTTACCTCTAGTCCACTCTACCAAGGTGTAGCCCTTTATTCAAAGTAGACCACACCCCTTGAACAGACCCAGGACTTGGTCTCTCTCTCCTATGGCACAGTAAAACCTGAAACTCACAGTACTAGTTTTAACAAATGTTCCTAGAGCCAAAGCAGTTTCAGTGCTTTGCTTATCTTTGTCTTCTTTTAGATTTTGCCCTGATAATCTCTTACTATCTCAGCAGCTCTCTGATGCTTCTTAGGAAATAATTTATGTAGCATCTTTCACTAAGAGGAGTCTATCCCAACTTCTAGCCAGCCATATCACCACAAATGGATATCAAACTTCACATAAGATTCTAAGATGATTTGAAATGACCTAAAGGGGCTGGCGCCTTTAGATTATATAGTTAACAGGAGGTTAACGCCCTGGCCTGAAGCACTGACATCCCATATGGGCGCCAGTTCAAGTCCCAGCTGTTCTACTTCTGATCTAGCTCTCTGCTATGGCCTGGGAAAGCAGTGGAAGATGGCCCAAGTCTTTGGGCCCCTGCACCCGCGTGGGAGACCTGGAGGAAGCTTCTGGCTCCTGGCTTCGGATCGGCACAGTTCCAGCCAATGAGGCCAATTGAGGAGTTAACCATCAGATGAAGACCTCTGCTTCTCCTCTCTCTGTGTAACTGACTTTCCAATAAATAAATAAATCTTAAAAAAAAAAAAAAAGAATCTATAAAGACAATTTATCTGGCATTTGCCAAAGGTAACATTGAAAATGTAACAGTGAGCATTTTATCATCTCCCAATTCATTAGTTATCTTTGTGCATCAAAGATTAAGTGCTTTAATTCAGATGGTAATCAAGAAATATCAAGTCTGCCATGCAAGGTGTTACCAGGAGTGATAACCTGCCTTCCTTCCTGTATGACATCATCACAACTCATCTCCAGGTAAACTAAGAGCTATTAGAAAATTATCAAACATAATCACCACTTCGTTATTTCAAGTTAGTAACAGAAAAGTATGACTTTAAGATAAAACTAAAGAGAGAAAGAACCACTGATTCATGTTACACTGGCTAGCTGTAACAATCAAGTCACAAGTATCACCTGTCAGGCTGGTTACTAATGTACTTACTTTGCTTCGAGTTGTGTAATTCTTCTCTTGTGATACACGAAAGCTGTGGGCTCTGCTGCCAAAACTTTAAGTTTTCCATGAAGAAAAAATGTAGTCCTTCGGCCTTTCTTTATTGTCTCAACAAAGGCATCATATTCTTTTTTGATTGAAGTAAGAATGGATTTGTATGCAGTGACATATTCTATTACCTGAAATATGATTTTTCTGCCTATGGTATAGATTTTTTTCTAGAACACAATGGATCTAATGCCTTGCAAAGAGCTTACAGATTATTTTTCGAATGAAATGATTAGCAATTAGAAATCTAAAAATTTCACGGCAAGCTCCAACATGACTGGGTACTAAAAAACAACTGGTATTTACTTAGTAGGTGCTTGCTCAGGACCAATATGGTAGATACTGTGAGCTTACATTTGAGAAAAGGACCCCAGGCTTCTTCTAGTTCAACACACACTATATGGGGTCAGTTAAAACTAACATGAGACCAAATTTTCCTGATTCTGTAGCTTTTAAACATATATATATTACTCTCTCCAAATGTCATCTTTTTTCATTTAGACCTTAAAATCCATCTCCCTGTCTTTCTAACCTATCAGCTCCTACTGGTCAGTCAATACTCTCAATTCCTAATTGTGTTTCTATTCTCAAGATATCAAGCGCAAGTGTCAAAAACTCCACATCAATGTATTTTCATGGCTTCTAATGCTGTTTAAGCACAGAATGTTCCTGAAATTAACCTAAGAAAGCACAACAAAAGAAATGAGGTGCCCATAGAGAAGAAAAGATCAAGTAGGATCTGAGGTAAGAAAAGCCTGACTCTCCATTGTGTACTCTGATTTACTAGTTTGTATATTTTCTCTCTCTGTCTTGTGTATGAATCATCCTTCCAGAAATAATAAATGAGAAAAAAATTGTTTCAATGAGTTAGAGAACAGAAAAGTTACAACTTTTTGTTCCCAAATTCTGCTCATGATGATTTCAGAAGGGACTGATGTACAAAGGGAACAGATGTGATCTTGCTGATCTTCTCTGCTAGCTGCAATTATGCTTTCTGCCCTTGACACACCCTTAGGCTAGTTTCCCTCACTTGCTCTTTAGCTTAAAAAAAAAAAAGCTAGAAAAAGTTATCCAGGTAGATGTACTGTCTAACAAGAAATGACACAGAGATTTTTAGTTGCTGGCAAGTGCCAGGAGAAGACATTTCAGTGGGGATATTGGTTGCCTTTGACTTATCCACACTCCCCAGGAACCCAAAGCAGGAATCTGTAATAAAACGGAGGTCATCAACCGCTGGTCCTCCTGAGTAGGCACCTGCTGCTCCTGGACATGCTCTATTTCACAGACCCCTGTGAGCTGCTCCAACAACCCAAGACAAGTCAGACGCAGTAAGGGGCTGATAACAGACTCGCAGTGATGTGACCAGCTCCCAGTTCTGGTTGTCAGAAGAAACAGAGTTCAGAACATTCACAGGAACCTTTAAGAATGCAAAGAAAATGCAGCAAAGCAGAGGATGCACTCTGGCACACTATATGTAGCATATAGTTGGCAACTTTGACCCGCAAAATATTCTAAAATTTAGCAAATTTTGTCCAAAAAACCATATATTCAGCTTCCCTTGAGAAATCTGAAAAATATACCAACACAGAATCCCCATTTCTTCCGCCTGCGGTGCCGGCACACCCGGTTCTAGTCCCGGTTGGGGCGCCGGATTCTGTCCCGGTTGCCCCTCTTCCAGGCCAGCTCTCTGCTGTGGCCCGGGAGCGCAGTGGAGGATGGCCCAAGTACTTGGGCCCTGCACCCCATGGGAGACCAGGAGAAGCACCTGGCTCCTGCCTCCGGATCAGCGTGGTGCACTGGCTGCAGCGCGCTGGCCGCGGCGGCCATTGGAGGGTGAACCAACGGCAAAGGAAGACCTTTCTCTCTCATCTCTCTCACTGTCCACTCTGTCAAAAAAAAAAAAAAAAAAAAAAAGAATCCCCATTCCTTAATGAGAATACTAGCTGGAGCTTTACTTTGCCTTGGTTCAGTTTACCACAGACTCCTCCGTTCCTCATTCTCTTATTTAACTCTTTTCTAGTATCTTCCTAGCCTCTGTAGGCATTGGAACATGCGACTCCTGAAACAACGTTTCTATCAAAGTGAAGAAAACCCCAACTTCACCTATCTGATACCAGAGCCCGAGGAAGAAGAGGAATGTCATCCATTCCATCTGAATGTCTTGGACATTGTACAAAATACTACTAGGAATACAAACGGCCAGCCACTTTCCAAAGTCCCGATGCCTCTGCACGACACCCATTTCTGTAGAGCCTCACTCTTCTGAGCTTTGGTCTTCTTTGATTAATAGGTCCTTGGCTTGCTCTACACTCCATCCCCAAATCTTAGTATATGAGTCCCAGACCCTTGATTCAGACACCACTCTCTAGGCTACACCATTTTAAACATTATTTGGCATTTGTTCTCCAGTTCCAAGTATTAAGAGATGCAAGCTGACACTTTTATCTTCTTCCCAACTAGAATCTTCCAAGATGGAAAGGAAATCTGAGAAACCCGTCATTAATAGCTCGTTTATAATCTGATATGCTGGAATGACAGGAAAATGAAAAGGGTCAATTGTAAGAAGCTAGAAGCTTCTCAGGGGCAGCACTGTGGTGCAGTGGGTTAACCTGCCACCTGCAGTGCCAGCATCCTGGACACCAGCTCAAGTCCCAGCTGCTCCATTACCGATACTGCTCCCTGCTGATGGCCTGGGAAAGCACTGGAAGATGGCCCAAATCCTTGGGTTCCTGAACCCACATGGGAGACCAGAAGAAGCTCCTGGCTCCTGACTTCAGCCTGGCCCAGTCTTGGCTGTTACAGCCATTTTGGGAGTGAACCAGCAGATGGAAAATCTCTCTCTCTCTGCCCCTTTCTCGTTCTAACTCTGTTTTTCAACTAAATAAATATTCGAAGAATAAAAAAGTAAATATAGACTCTTCCCTGTCCTTAAAGATAGGATTCTTTACAATGTACACTTTTACAACATACACTTAGCCTAGATGGATAGTGTGGAGGGTGGAGAGAAAAGGAACACAGACTATAGATGAGATAGTTTTCATTTAACTCCGTGTGTTTTCCCTAAGAATTAAATTTACCAACATCACCAAAACAACTTCACCATAACTATACTAATGTAAAGCAGACAGCTGTTCATGTAAGAAAAATTCCGACAAGAGTTAGCCTTTGGAGATGCCAAGATAAGCATGGCACGGTTAGGACCTTCTTTTACTGATTTCACACAGCTAAGAGTCTTGGTGTGACTCAAGAATTATGGCCGGCACTGCGGCTCACTAGGCTAATCCTCCGCCTTGCGGTGCCGGCACACCGGGTTCTAGTATCGATTGGGGCGCCGGATTCTTTCCCGGTTGCCCCTCTTCCAGGCCAGCTCTCTGCTGTGGCCTGGGAGTGCAGTGGAGGATGGCCCAAGTGCTTGGGCCCTGAACCCCATGGGAGACCAGGATAAGCACCTGGCTCCTGCCTTCGGATCAGCGTGGTGCGCCGGCCGTGGCGGCCATTGGAGGGTGAACCAACGGCAAAGGAAGACCTTTCTCTCAGTCTCTCTCTCTCACTGTCCACTCTGCCTGTCAAAAAAACAAATAAAAAAAAGAATTATGAAATCTATTCAAGACACTACCTTTATGTAAACATACCTAATGCAATATGATTTGTCATAACAACATGCAAAATGAAGTTAACTGTGCAATGTATTGATTGTAAGATAAATTTTCTGGATAACTTAAAAGGAAGGAAAACTTTGGTCTCTCTATTTTATATTCTTACTGATCTGTACCAATTTTCTTCATTCTACTGGTAGGCACTTATCACTACTTTGTGCTCACTTTTCCTGAGAGTGAAGTACTGAGATTTTTAGAGAAGAAAGGAGATTCATTGCATCTAATGTTTACAAATTAAGTAAAAGACTGAGTTCCTGTTTTGCCTGTGGCTGTTTTACTCAGAGACCAGTAGTTTATTGAAATCTTAAGGTAAGTGCTTCCTCTAGGCAAGGAGGAAAGTTGTTGATTTCACTATGTTTTAACTGTCAGAGCATCTTCCAAGGGAGGGTGAAAAAAAGACAGTTCAAACAATTAGGTCAATGAGCAAACTGAAATTGTTTATAGGGGAAGAAAAGACATTTCTAAACCATAAGGAGCAGAATAAAATGTTATAAAAAAGACATAACATTTCCTAATTTGAGCGCCATATTTCTCATGGTAAGTCCAGTCAAACCTCTAGTTTACCATGTCTATCTTGATCTCTAAGTAGAAGAGGTCTCAGTTTAATATGTTAGATTAAATTTAAACCAATACTTTAATGATACCACAAATTTAAAATAAGGAACACATTGGGTGATTACTTAAGGCCCAGTTGCTAATGAAATAGATATTTTCAGAAGTTAGGGTTAAAATGACTATCACAGTCAGGTTGTTGACCAAAAAGTTATTGCCTGCTCTTAAACTAACTGAAACAATGATTAACAGTTGGGTAATACCCATATAAACCCACAATTGCATTTTCCCCATCACCCCTTCCTGAAAAATTGGATGAACTCAAGACTGAGAGTGGAGTCCGGTCAGACACGCAGGGGTGCAAGCCAGGCAGGAGTGCTGGTTGCCAAGACAGTTAATTTCCACCCTCAAGAACACTTCCTCGTCTTAAAAGGATTATGATACCTTATCAAAAACATTGCGGTATATGATGTAATACTCATCAGCAGGTCCTTCCTCATTACAGCCCACTCTTTCCGTTTCTGTAATTATGTATCTTTGCATATTTTCCAAAAATTCCTTGTCACTGCTACTAATGATAGGAGGGAGAACTGCATGTTTATTTATTTCTTGGACTGACATAAGTCACAATCCGCACACTTGTTCACCAGAGAAACTTTAAGTCGTGACCTGCTTTTGCAATAAAGTAAAACTGTGATAAGCCTGAAAGGGGGGAAAAAGAACATAAATTAGTACAAAGCTTTAACAAAATTAAATCAGATATTGATCCAAACAACGTGTGTTTGAGGAAGAAAGGAGCTCTTCTCTTACTAACCAAGTACAGCTCCTCGCATAGAAGACACTAAGCACACTAGCAAAGCCTCTGGTTTGCGCAGTGGAGAAAAGGCCGGGAGGACCCAGCGGCTCCCACTTGGCCTGCCTGGCCCCTAGAGCACCCCATTCGGGCTCAGAACCTATTCGGGCATCCTCTCAGGGCCTTCACCAATTCACTCAACGTCCAAACTTAGAAATTCTGTAACCAAATAACCACTCTGCAGGCTTCTTTGCCGTGTCTTCGTGTTAACAGCTGAAAACCGCAGGGGCCGGCGTTGAAGCGCAGGAGGGGTAGGCCACTGCCTGCGACTGGTGCATCCCATTTGCGCTCCGGTTCCAGTCCCGGCTGCTCCACTTCCATCCAGCTCCCTACTAATGGGCTTGGGGAAGCAGCGGAGGAGGGAGGGCCCAAGAAAAAAACACCTTTTGAAAACTACAGAGATTCTCAGCAGATTAAACCGTTTCAGAGTGGTGCAAAAGCCAGAATCTTCCTGAGGCTAAGAAACGTAAGGGCTGACGGCAGAGATTTTTAGGACTTCCTATTTTTCCGTTTGCCTGGACTCGGCCCCAAGGATTTCCTCCCCTGGAAGCCCAGGGATCGGCTGGCAGACAGCTGCCTCTGTGAGTGGGTGAAGGACGCTTTCCCGCCCGGCGTTCCTGTCCTGCCCCTTAAGGTTTCCCTCCTAGTCATTTCCGGCTCGTTCCCACCCCGCCCTAACCATTACTCTGCCTCATGCCTTCTCGCGTCCTCACCTGAAGCCCTTTCTCCAAACACCATATCCAGTACTTGCACATAGTAACTAAGGAACCCAGGGTGTGGAACTGCATCTTGGGACAAGCAGTCCTAGCTAGAGGAGAGCATCGGAAAACTACAATTCCCAGAATGCACCTCCGTTTCCTTCTGCCTCTCCAGTGGGGCCTCTCCCCCGAGCCCGCCTCCTGTTAAAGACCCTCCCAGCCACGTTGACTGTATGGGAAAAGCCTTTTAAAACCATTTTAAAATTTTAAATACACCGTCTTGAGAGCATTCTGAAGGTGACTGTCAGAAATAAGCGCAGGCTAGGAAGACGTGAGAGTCACGACGCAATACGGCAAATGGCTAGGCACCCGCTGTATCAGGGCTCAGGCATCTGGTGTGGCCGCCTAAGAGGCGGGGCCTTCGGCGGGGGTGCCGGGAAACCCCGTGGGCCGGCGGCGCTCTTCCTTTTCGATCCGCCATCTGCGGTGAGTGTGTGCTCTGGGGCCGCTCTCCGGCCAGGGGCCTGGGCGCTGTCGTGCTCCTGTGTCCCAGGTCTAATCGGGTTCTTCTTTTCCTTCAGCGCAGGTGGGCCCGCCACCAGGATGCAGATCTTCGTGAAAACCCTTACGGGGAAGACCATCACGCTCGAGGTACGATCGGGTGGTGCGAGAGAAAGCCCGGGCCTGAATGAGGACTTGGGGTGGTATTGCGGGACGGGCGCTGTGTTCCAGCTTTTCGAGAATGCCTGGGAATTGCGGTTCTGAAGCCGTGCTCCGAATGCGGGTGGTTTTGCCGAGCAAGGGCCCGGGGCCTGACTTTCGTTAGTGTCGGGACTTGCCCTCGGTGGTCCCGGCCGGCCAGCCGCAGCAGAGGCCCGGCGGTGGCAATGAGGCGCTCCTCGCTGGCCGGCGTGAGCACGTGGGGCCGGGGGCCGCCGCCCGGTCTCGGCTGGGGCAAGGAGCCGGCTCTGCTTCCCGGTCGTAGTTTGGGGAGGTTGCCCACCCAGCCTGGCTCAGTGCTAACAGTCAAATGGAACTAAATGCGTTTTTATTCCAGTGGTTTTTTTCTTTGTGTAACCAACATGCTTGCGTTTCACAACTTTTAGGTTGAACCCTCGGATACAATAGAAAATGTAAAAGCCAAAATCCAGGATAAGGAAGGCAAGTAGTATTTGATAGCTCAGGAAAACTAACCTGGGTGTAGGAGCCAGACACACTGATGGCTCCTGGTGGGGTGGGATGAGATCAGGTAACCCGGCTAAAAAACTTTTTAAGTAACAGTGCCCTCGGTTTATTGTGAAATGACATAGTAGACACAAGCTTGTGAGCACGGAGCCGAGCTGCATGACTGGAATCTTTGCAGTGATTCCACATGAGTGAATTTTGTCAAGTTACTTAGTTCTCTAGACCTGTTACCTGTGCTGTGTGTAAAAGGAAATTTACAAAATTAACAAATAATGTGATGAAAATATGTAAACACTTAAAATTGTGCCTGACCTGCAATAGTGGTTGGGGTCAGCTGTTGGTACCATTTATTTAGTTCAGGATTACTTGTAAACCTGGGCAAATGACACTGTTCTACCATCTTGGTTTTTTTGTGTTTTTTTGTTTTGTTTTGTGAACTTCATTAGGAATTCCTCCTGATCAGCAAAGACTGATTTTTGCTGGCAAGCAACTGGAAGATGGACGGACTTTATCTGACTACAACATTCAAAAGGTAACGTTTGGGGAAAGGAGTAGCCCATTTAAAAAAAAAAAAACAAAAAACAAAAAAACAAAAAACCCTGTTTTGGAAATTTGCTATGTAAAGGTGGGGAAAACAGATCAGATTCTGAGGTGTCACGGGAGCACTGGTGTAGTTTCTTGTAGTCGGTTTGACACCCCATGGTATGATTTAATACTTTTAATTTCTGAAAACTAACCAAGAACCACATACTCGGGAGTGGGGGATCCCTCTCAGGTGGTATTGTGTGCTGTCTGCACTTAACTAGAAGGTGTGTGATGCTGGTTGTCCATTCTCAATGCACTATGGAAGCTGTTTGGTTCTGTTACACACAGGAGTCTACTCTTCACCTTGTGTTGAGACTTCGTGGGGGTGCCAAGAAAAGGAAGAAGAAGTCTTACACCACTCCCAAGAAGAATAAGCATAAGAGAAAGAAGGTTAAGCTGGCTGTCCTGAAGTACTATAAGGTGAGCCACTTGAAAGTGATGGGGAGACTTTCAGTGAAGTCAGGGTTTGTTGGAAACAATTTTCTTTGTAATGTATCGGTATTTTCTTATGGAGCGAGCAGATTTGAATATCCAGTATAACCACTTTTGCTTGAGTGGAGTATTCCAAAAATGACAGTTTAAAAATAGTTTTCTCTCCCCCTTTGGTATTTGAATGAGCTTCTGTAATGCAGCTCAGCTCTAGCTGCCTGCTCCAAATGAAGGTTCTGAGTCTGTTGTATGTCAGTTCTGGACTTAGCGTAAGCGCTTGTGCACAGCTGGACACTGACTTCAATGGAAGAGGTCACGAGACTTCTGGATGTGGGTTTATAAGCACTAAGCTGCCTGCATTGTGTATTAGAAGAGGCTCAGTGTTCTCAGTCACGTAGACTTTAGGATGTGCTGGGGAAGTTCTCTTAACAGCAGGTTTGTGCTTTCAGGTGGATGAGAACGGCAAGATCAGTCGGCTGCGTCGCGAGTGCCCTTCAGATGAATGTGGTGCTGGCGTGTTCATGGCCAGCCACTTCGACAGACATTACTGTGGCAAATGCTGTCTGACTTACTGCTTCAACAAACCAGAAGACAAGTAACTGCATATGAGGAGTTAATAAAAGATGTTAACATACTTGCCTGTGAATTTTACTGCAGTGCTTTAGCTACTGGTTTTTGAACTTCGAAATGATGGTCCCAGTGTTTGGTAGTGCCTCTGTGGTGCTTAAGTGTGAAGATCGAAAGATCTTGGTGTTTTCATAGTAAAAAACTACTAAATTTTGGCAGGGAGACATTGAGTTGTGCTAAATATTTGCTTTCTGGTATTTCTGCCAGTTTCTTGAGGCGACATCCCCACAGTAGACACTTTGGGTCAGATATCTGGGGGGCTGCCAGCATCCCTGGCCTCTGCTCACTTGATGCCAGCAGTCCCATTCTTCCTTGCTCCCTAGTTGAGACTCTACCTTCCCAGAGTCTACAACATGCATCTGACACACAAGAAATCTGAAGTATCTTGAGGGGGAGGGGGTTCCAGTGGGAGGTTTGCTGTCTGTAGTACAAGGGAACACATCTGTCTACTCAGTGCTGCACCTGAACTTGGGAATTTTAAACTTTAATGCTCCACTGGATGAATCCAAACAAAGGAAGAATTATTAGTACTAAGAAGTAAGTTTCAAGCTCATTTGATTGATCCCTGCCAACCAACTCTTGTTACTATTTATTTATTTGAAAGGCAGAGTTGGGGCGAGATCTGCTGGTTCACTCCACAGATGGCTGCAATAGCAAGGAGCTCCATCCTGGTCTCCCATGTGGGTGGCAGGGGTCTAAGCACGTCTTCCCAGGCCATTAGCAGGTAGCAGGGAGAAGGATCAGAAGTGGAGCAGCCAGGAACTGAATGGGCACTCACGTGGGACACCAGTGTCACAGGTGGCTTTCCCAACTATACCACAATACCAGCCCCAGATGCCTGCCATTCAACCACAGCATACACTTAGATTTAGTGATACACTAACAGTTGCCATATAGCTAATCTTTGTAAGGTACTGGACAGTAAAGCAAGACACTGGGTCTTTTTTAAAATTTTCATTTTAATCAAAAGACAGACATATCCTCCATTTACAGGCTCACCCAAATACCCACAAATGCTTTGGGCCAGGACCAAAGCCAGGATCTTGGAGCTCAACCTGGGCCTGCCTTGGGAGTAGCAGAGACCAAAGTACTTGCGCCATCCCCTGCCTCAACAGGGTGCATCTTAGCAGGAACCTTAAGTGGGAAGCCCAGACTCAGGACCAGGCACTCCGTTCCAAATGCCCAACCCATTTTTAATTTAAAATCCTGGATCCCAAGAAGTCTTAGCTAAAACTTCCCTTTCTTCGTAACAAACAATTTCATCACCCACTTTAAATTCTACCTTTTCTTCATCTAAACTGAGGCCACAATCCATTCCAGTTTTGATAATCGAAACGTCATCTTTATGGTGTTTCAGTGAAGTTAGTGAGCCTTAAAAAAACAAAAAAGTATACTCAACACATGACAAGTAAATACCACATGCTACATAGCTTAGTATTAAGAGGAAAATTGTTAAAATTTTTAGAAGTTAACAGTCCTGTCATGGCAAATGGAACTAAACACTGGGAAGCAAAGCTTATTATCAATAAGATTTGATTTGGAGAAAACGATCTTAAGTGTACCGGTTTTAAGGCACATGGAGACTTGCAGATGATGGGATTGTATTTAGGACTGGAGTGGGAAAAAAGATACACTGCAGGTAGAAGGTTAAGTTATAAATGACAGGAATAAAAGTTCAGGAAGTCGGAAGACAGGCAATCCTGGAGGAGTCAACAGCAAAAAAGAGATGGCCTTCACGGATGATGGGAGTAGGAGATTTCAGATGCTACACAGCAGATTTTGGAGACAATATGATATTACAGAAACAGATTTGATGTACTTACCCCTCCAAATAATATGTCCATTACGGATTAATTTAAATTTTTTTTGTTTTTCTAAATGTCCCTTTAGGACTCGGCAGCCAGCCACAGGCACTTTTTTCTTCCCTTCTGTTACAGAGAAGGTAGCAAGGATTGAAGCTTCACCTTTGGGAAGAGAACAAATTACAGTAAACAGGATTCCGAGAAATAGGACTTTTGACAGAGTACAAGAATTAAATGTGAGAAAAATACAAACTCAAGTCCTGGTTTCTCCAAACTTTATTTTCCAGATCAATAATAGGAATAAAAACAAATGAAAATCCTTGGGTGTTCCCCTGGCCTGTGAAAGCTTAGTTTTCAGCTTTCCTGCAGTATGTCTTCATCGCACATTATCTGACAATCTCACCACCAGTAATTTATATCAAGATTACTAATTTTGTGACCCACTTTTGCCACAGACTGAAAATTAAGACAAATTCCAATAACACACACTATAATATGTACGATTTTCTAGGAAGCTGACTGTGTAACAGCATTTATTAGTGTTTTTGACTGGTATGCTTGCTCACTCTGTCTTTAGCATGTCAGAAAGGCCCAACATAAATCTGTATGTGGATCAAAAATCCAAAACCAAATCTTATGAGGAAACATCAGACAAATTCAAACTAAGGTATACTATACAAAGTTGCTGGCCTACATACTTAAAAAATGCAAAGGTTAAAAAGTACATGCTCAAGCTGACTTGCCCCAAACGGTAGAGTTAGAAACATACCAGGGGATTCCAAATCAATCATCAAGGTGGCATGTACCAATGCCATCTCACTAGTCCAAGTGCTCAATTTCTGTTCACAATTAATCATAATGATAGGACTAAGAACCAAAGGGATCACACAAACAAGACTAGTGTCTGCTAATACTAACCGATAGAATAAAAAAAGGAGAGAATGATCCAACATGGGAAGCGAGATACACAGCAGACTCATAGAATGGCGGATGTCCTAAACAGCACTCTGGCCTCAGAATCAGCCCTTAAGGCATGCAGATCCGGCTGAAAAGCCCATGAGAGTATTTCAGGCATGGAAAGCCAAGACACTCTGGCAAAAAAAAAAAAAAAAAAAAAAAAAAAAAAAACCAAAACAAAAAAAAAACAACCAACCAACCTAAATGAAAGATCTCCACAAGTGAGATCCCAGTGGAAAGAACAGGTCATCAAAGAAAGAGGTACCTTTCTCTGAAGGGAGGAGGGAACTTCCACTTTGACTATGACCTTGTCTAAATATGATCAGAGTTGGTGAACTCAAAAGGCTTCCATAGCCTTGGCAGCTCATGACAAGAGCCTAGGGTGATTACTGAGGCCATAAACAAGAGTGTCAATTTGTTAAGTCAACAACAGGAGTCACTGTGCACTTACTCCTCATGTAGGATCTTTGTCCTTAATGTGCTGTACACTGTGATTTAATGCTATAACTAGGACTCAAACAGTATTTTTCACTCTGTGTTTCTATGTGGGTGCAAACTGTTGAAACCTTTACTTAATATATGCTAAACTGATCTTCTGTATATAAAGAGAATTGAATATGAATCTTGATGTGAATGGAAGGGAAGAGGGAGAGGGGAGGGTTGCAGGTGGGAGGGAAGTTATGGGGGGGGAAGCCATTGTAATCCATAAGCTGTACTTTGGAAATTTATATTCATTAAATAAAAGTTAAAAAAATTACATAGATTGAGGGATGGTTCAGATTAAATGAGCCTATAGAAATAATAACCACTAGGAGCAGGCATTGTGGTACAGCAAGTAAAGCCAACACCTACAACAGCCGCCTCCCACATGGGAGCTGGTTTGTGTCTTGCTGCTCCACTTCTGTTCCAGCTTCCTGCTAATGGCCTGGGAAAAGCAGAAAATGTCTCAAGTGCTTGGGCCCCTCACATTCAGGTGGGAGACCTGGATAAAGCTCCTGGCTCCTGGCTCCAAAAAACCCAGTCCTGGCTGTTTCAGCCATCTGGAGAGTGAATCAGCAGATAGAAGATCTCTCTGCCCTCTCCACACTACTCCTTCTCTCTATAATTCTGACTTTTTTTTTTTTTTTTTTTGACAAGTATAGTTATAGACAGTGAGATAGAGAGACAGAGAGAAAGGTCTTCCTTCCGTTGGTTCACCCCCCAAAATGGCCACTACGGCCGGTGCACAGCACCAATCCAAAGCCAGGAGCCAGGTGCTTCCTCCTGGTCTCCCACTCAGGTGCAGGGCCCAAGCACTTGGGCCATCCTCCACTGCCTTCCCGGGCCACAGCAGAGAGCTGGACTGGAAGAGGAGCAACTGGGACTCGAACCCAGCGCCCATATGGGATGCTGGCACCGCAGGCAGAGGATTAACCAAGTGAGCCTTGGCGCCGGCCCTATAATACTGACTTTTAAAATAAGCAAAATAAATATGTAAGAAAAATGTTTTTTAAAAAAACTAACCACAAACCATGATCCTAGCCTGGGGGTGGGAGTGAATACACTACACTGTTGGAACAATGGACAAAACTATTATGTGGATTATTTAATAGTACTGTACAAATGAGTCTGATTACTTTATTCAAGAACATTCTTGTGTGTAGCAAATGTACATATGAGGGCACTTCAAAAAATTCATGGGAAATAGAATTAAAATGTAACTGTATTTTGGTGCAAGAAATTTTTTCGAAACCCATGCAAACAAAGGATCATGGTATTATTGTTGCGTGGTGTTTAGGGCACCGGTTAGGACACTTGTGTCCCACATCAAAGTATCTCAGTTCAGTGCAGGCCTCCAGCTCCTGACTAGCTTTCTGCTACCAGACAGCAGGGATGGCTCAAGTAACTGGGTTCTTGCCACCCATGTGGGAGAAGAACTGGATTAATTTCTGGCTCCGGGTGTCAGCATCAGCCCTGTTCCAGCAACTGTAGCCCACTGAGGAATGAATAAGCAGATGGGAATCCTCTTTCTCTCTGCCTCGCTCTCTGCCTCTCAAATAAACTTAAAAAAAAATCATAGAAACTGTGCATTAGGAAAAAATTGAGTTGATTTCAAATTTTTTTGTACCAAAATAAACATCTTTCAATTCCAGTTTTCCATAAACTTTTTAAAGTACCTTCCTATTAGAAGTAAATGAGCACAATCTCAAACTTACCTTCAAACTGTCCAGTAAGAAAACAACTGAGTGCTTACATACAGGGGAGGAGGAATAAAGCAAATAGGGCAAAATATAAACAACTGATGAACTGGGTAAGGGCATATAGGAGTTCCTAATATTTTTCTTAGAATTTTTCTGGAAACTTAAAACTATTATCAAAATTAAAACTTAATAAAACATCTATATGAAGGGAGAAAAAAAGAACAAATTAGAGCCGGCGCCGCGGCTCACTAGGCTAATCCTCTGCCTAGCGGCGCCGGCACACCGGGTTCTAGTCCCGGTCTGGGTGCCGGATTCTGTCCCGGTTGCCCCTCTTCCAGGCCAGCTCTCTGCTGTGGCCAGGGAGTGCAGTGGAGGATGGCCCAGGTGCTTGGGCCCTGCACCCCATGGGAGACCAGGAAAAGCACCTGGCTCCTGCGTCCTGCCATCGGATCAGCGCGGTGCGCCGGCCGCAGCGCGCCGGCCGCGGCGGCCATTGGAGGGTGAACCTACGGCAAAGGAAGACCTTTCTCTCTGTCTCTCTCTCTCACTGTCCACTCTGCCTGTCAAAAAAAAAAAAAAAAAAAAAAAAAAAAAAAAGAACAAATTAGGTAATTGATTCAATTCTAATCTGGCCAGAGGATATGCTAGAAAGAATATTTTAAACTATATGAATGTAACGGATATTTTCTTCTCACAGTCACTTTTTCTGCCAGCTCCAGGGCAGAAGTCAATGGCTCCTTCCGTGACACTGTACACCTTTCTGCCTCCTAGCCTAGTCAGATTGTATTACAATTTGCATGTCACAATTAGTTGTTCATGTCTAAACTTTAGGGCAAAATCTCATTGCACTATCTGCCTTGTGTCCTCAAAGCCCAAGCACAATGTGATGCAGAAGGCAGGCACTGGTAAGACACAGTGGCCATCTTTGCTAGAACACAGGACATACACTGGAATAGTGAACGCCCTTGAAAAGTGAAACACATTTCACTTCAACTTTGCTGTCAAGCTCCATTTATAGCACTTAAGACATGAACGTTTACAAGTAACATTCTGTGCATATTTACCTATTGGGTGCTCTTCCACTGCACAGGGCAATCTACTGCTCAGTTCCTCTTGTAAGTCTTCAACTAAACGGTAAATGATTTTGTGAAGTTTAACTTTGATTCCTTTTTTTGCAGCTGATTGCTGGATAACATTGCTTGCATTCACATTAAAACCATATATAATACCTGGCAAGTAGAAACATAATCAATAAAATAGCACAAATATTATATTTTTTTCTTTTAAAGATTTGTTTATATGAAAGGCAGAGTTACAAAAGGATACAGAGAAGTAGAGAAAGATACAGAGAAGTAGAGAGAGAGAGAGAGAAAGTCTTCCATCCACTGGTTCACTCCCCAAATGGCCAAAACAGCTGGGGCTGGGCCAGGCCAAAGCCAGGAGCCAAGAACTGCTTCTGGTCTCCCACGTGGTACAGGGACCCAAGCACATGGGCCCTCTTCTGCTGCTTTCCCAGGCACATTAGCAGGGAGCTGGATTGGAAGTAGAGCAGCTGGGACTTGAACCAGCTCCCATATGGGATGCTGGCATTGCATATTAACCCAGTCAATACCCCACAGTGCTGGCACTCATTATTATAATTTGTCTTCCAAGCAGGAGCTCGAATCTCAAGTTTTATTTCCTTCCTAACTAGGAATAGCAATTAGGGGAGATGAAAAATTCTGATTTCTTAAAAAAAAAAAAAATTCTGATTTCTTTCTTAGGAAAACTAGTACATTTATAAATTAATGAAAGAATTTTATAAATTATATTATGTCTTATTTAATAAGGAAAATTTATTATCTATTATTTTAAATCCACTCAGTTCAGAAACACTGAGTGCCCAAAATGTGCAAGGCAGTATGCTGAACAGTTTAACCAAGAGAAAAAACCCAATAGCCTCAAAATGTCTTACCATGAAGAAACGGTTCAATACACTGCCCACATGACACAGCATAGTGCCAGGTCTGTCAGTGCCTCACATAACAGTTTGAACTGATCAGCCTTACTGAAAATACCTTTTCAGCACTAGAGGTGACGTCTGATTCTATTCAAGTCAAGCTACAACAACGTTGGTGTTTTTTTGTGTGTAGGTTCCACTAATAGAGACATCTATTTCTAGTCAACTGAACCTAAAAGGGGGCATTTTACTTAAAAATTATGATTTATAAAGTTTTCAACTAACAAAAATACATGACAAAGAAAAGTTCTGAATATGCTGATTACAGTGATAGGAGCATTCAAAAGTTTAACAAAAGATCCAGAGAACCAAGAACTAGGAGCAAGGGGCAGAAGGGACTACTGATGCTTAAACAAACACACAAGAAACACTATTGGATTTTAAAGCCTTCCCATAAGGTTGCAGCAGAATCACACCAAGCAGAGCTATGTCTACAACACTGCACATCCTGTTTGACTCAACTGCTATGTAGGACTGGACTACAGAGGGAGGGGCAATGCTGATGGATATAAATGTCAGATGTGACAAGCCAAGCAACAAAAGACAGAGCACAGGGTTTACAATGCGATTCAGAAGCACAGTTTAAAAACCAGAAAGTGGAATACTTACCATCAAATGTTTCAGCAAGGTTAACATCATTCTCACTAATATCACCCACTCCAAAATGTACTAATTCTAGTTCACATTCGTGTGAAGCATCATAAGAAGCCAAAATGTTCAAAATCGCCTCAACGGAACCGTCAACATCACCTAAAAAAAGCAGAAGTTTAAAACTGTTGATGTTAAGATTTAGACATTAACAGACGTGAAAGTAAGAATCCACATCAAGCCATAATAGAAATGATACTTACACGAAATGCACTTTTACTTGGGTTTAGCATTATACTTATTTAACTTAATAAAGTATAATGAACCAAATGTCCACATACAACACAATAAGCAAGAAATGATCACTCAGAAAATGTCCCCCAAAATACTTACATTATTTTTCCTTAAATTTAAGAGTCCAAAGTAATTGTGAGAAAAAAATACATTTTTTAAAAGATTTATTTTATTCATTTGAAAGACGGAGTTACAGGGAGAGGTAGAAACAGAAAGTGAGGCCTTCTATCTGCTGGTTCACTCTCAAATGGCTGCAACAGCCAGAGCTGAGCCAAGGAAGCCAGGAACCAGGAGCCTCTTCTGGGTCTCCCAAGTGGGTGCAGAGGCCCAAAGAGTTGGGTAATCCTCCACTGCTTTCAAAGGCGCATCAGCAGGGAGCTGGATTCTAAGTAGAGCAGCCGGGACTCGAACCAGTGCCCAAAATGGGATGCTGGCACTACAGGCCAGGGCTTTAATCCACCAAGCCACAGTGCCGACCCCATAGAATAAATAAATATATTTTAAAAATGAGCTGTAAATAAGCTGTAAATAAGTAAGTAAGCTGTAAGTAAGCTGTAAATCTTTTTAAAAAGGTACCTTTAATAACTACAGCAAGTACATTTGAATCTTTTTCTGCTTTCTCTTTCGGCTTTAAGGATTTTTGTTCTTTTCTTTCTAGGTACTTTATATAAGATCTCTCCTTCCAGTGCAAAGTGCCATACTTCTCACGGGCTTTCTGATAAGCTTCTTGGTGTTCCTTTCGCTTTTCTTCTATTATCTTCAGATCATCTTTATTTTTCTCCTGCTCTTGTGCATACTTTCTCCAGTCAACAACTTCACGTGCCCTTGACTTAACAGGGGAAAAGTCAGTATTATTAGATAAAATCAGACACCAGTAACTGTTAGATTAAAGGCTTCTTGTTTTCACCCATTATGAAACTGGCTTAAATATGTGTGAAACCACTACTTTTTTAAGTTTTATGAAACTTATAAAGCCAATTTAATTTGGGAGTTTTATGTGTTACTGAAATTATTTAAAAATGTTATCTCAAATTAAAAAAATAATAATTTTATAGCTACACAGTAAAATGACACTGGGGCAGGGGACAGGCATAGCAGGTAAAGTTGCTGCCTACAATGCCAGAATCCCATATGGGCACAGGGTCAAGTTCCATTTGTTCCACTTTTTTTTAAAAATTTTTATTTATTTTTTTTATTTTTGACAGGCAGAGTGGACAGTGAGAGAGAGAGAGACAGACAGAAAGGTCTTCCTTTTGCTGTTGATTCACCCTCCAATGGCCACCGTGGCCAGCGCACCGTGCTGATCCAAAGCGAGGAACCAGGTGCTTCCTCCTGGTCTCCCATGTGGGTGCAGGGCCCAAGGACTTGGGCCATCCTCCACTGCACTCCTGGGCCACAGCAGAGAGCTAGACTGGAAGAGAAGCAACCGGGACAGAATCCAGCGCCCTGACCGGGACTAGAACCCGGTGTGCCGGCACCGCAAGGTGGAGGATTAGCCTATTGAGCCGCGGTGCCGGCATTTGTTCCACTTTTGATCTAGCTCCCTGCTAATGCATCTGGGAAAGCAACAGAAGATGGCCCACGTGCTTGGGTCACTGCCCCAGTGTGGGAGACCCAGATGAAGTTCCTGACTTCCAGCTTTGGGCTGGCCTAGCCCCAGCTTTGTGGCCATCTGGAGAGTGAACCAGCCAATGGAAGACCTCTCTCTCTGTATCTCCTTCAAATAAATAAATAAATCTTAAAAAAAATAACATAGCATGGGAAGGTAGGCATTGTGGCACAACAGGTTACGCTGCTGCTTGGGACCCCCGTGTGCTCAGTTCTAGTTACCACCCAGGTTCTTGCTAACGCATATCCTTGGAGGCAGCAGATGACAGTTCTCGTACTTGAGTCCCTGCCAACCACATGGGAGACCTCAATTGACTCCCAAGCTCCTGGCTTTGGCCTGGCCCAGCTCTGGGTGTTGTGAGCATTTGGGGAAGGAACCAGTGGATGGAAAGTCTCTCTCTCTCTCCCTCTCTTTCAAAATAAATAAATAAATAAATAAACTTTAAAAAAATGACACTGGTTGGGATACTCATATCACATATCAGAGTGCCTAGGTTCAAGTCCCAGCTCCATTTCTGCTTCCAGCTTCCTGCTAATGCGCACCCTGGGAGGCAGCAGGTGATGGCTCAAGAACTTGGATCCCTGCCACCCCTGTGGGAGACCTGGACTGAATTCCCAGCTCTCGGCTTCAGTCCCCACCCTGGGGCCACTGTGGGCATTTTGGCGTGAACCAGCAGATAGTAGATCTGTTTCTCTGTCTCTCTTTCTCTCTGCCTTTCAAGTTAAAAAAAAATAAAATAAAACAAAATTAAATAAATACTAAAAAAAAAAAAATGATGGCTGAAGTGCTTGGGTCCTATCACCCTCATGGGAGACCAGGATGGAATTTTGGGCCCCTTGCTTTGGCCTGGCCCAACCCTGGCTGTTGTGGCCATTTGGGGAGCGAACCAACAGACTGATGCTCTCTCTCTGTCACTCTTCCTTTCAAGTAGGTTAAAAATATATAAACATTAAAAATGAAACAAAATGGTACGACTGATCCCTCTCTCAGCCTTCTGTAATCTAGAATTATTTGTTAACAAAAAGACTTATTTGGCATAACATTAGAGGTTGACATTTAACATCATTATACCTAATACATGAAAATTAAGCTCGATGTACCTCAGATTCTACTTCAAGAATTTCATCTCCTGCAGAAGGAAGGTCTTTCCAGCCTATAATTCCCACTGGCATGCTGGGATACGCCTCATTGATTGTTTTTCCATTTTCATCAAACATTAAACGTACTTTTGCCCAACTTCTTCCAGCAACCAGAATCGAGCCTTTTCTCAAAGTTCCTCTTTGAATTATAGCTGTAGTAACAGGACTAAAATGAAAATAAAAGTATATATTCTTCATGCCATCGTCAGGATGTCATTATACGAAGTAAAGCAGAGGTACTTCTATGAGGTTTTGAGATCTATATAACCATATGTGTACACAAGGTTAATTCCCTTCTCAATTTCTTAAGCGGTTTTTCATGCCATAAAACATTTGTTCATAATAGTTAAGAGATGGAAGCAACCCAAAGGTCCATCAATGGATGAATGAACACTTTGTCCAAGCAAAATGTGGTATTACAAACAAGGGATACTATGCAGCCCTAAAAAAAGAAGGAAAGAAATCTGTTTTAGGCCACAGTGTGGGTGAATCTTTAGGACTTTACACTAAGTAAAATAAACCAGACACAAGGGACAAATACTATATGGTTCCACTCATATGAAGTATCTAAAGTAGGCAAAATCACAAAACACAAAATAGAAAAGTGCTTTCCAAAGGCTAGGGGTTGGGGAGGAAAACTCAGTGCATTTTAATGGGTTCAGAGTTTGAGTTTAGAAAATGAAGAAGTCCTAGCAATCTGTTGTAGAACAATGTGAATACACTTAACAGTGCTAAATTGTATATTTAAAAAAGGTAACATAACAAATTTAATGTTATGTTTCTCTTGCCACAAAAAAGCAAAACATTTCTTGCAAGGTTATGCTGAGGGAAGGAGCAGGGAGTAGACTGTTCTGACAGAATCCTAATTCCCTTCTATCTCACTCTCCACATCAGCTAAGAGGCTGTGAACAGCTGTTACACAAGAAGACCTCTCTTGCTGGTAGGTAAGAATACTCAAGAAAAACTGCATTTCAAAGAACTTCCTAGATGCTACATATTTGTGGCAAAGGTCATAAAGAATTTATAAACCTTAAAATGCAACAGGTGATATCTCACTCCAATTTATATTAGTCTATGTATGAGATTTTTAACAACTCAAGGAAATCAGTGGAGAAAAAAATTTCAAACAAATTCAACTACTTAAGTCATCTAAATATGAGTACTAGTTGTCCTAAAGTTCATTCATGGAGGCTGGTGCTGTGGTGTAGCAGGTAAAGCCACCACCTGCAGTACCCGCATCCTATATGGGCGCCAGTTGGAGTCCTGGCTGCTCTACTTCTGACCCAGCTCTCTGCTGTGGCCTGAGAAAGCAGTGGAAGATGGCCCAGGTCCTTGGGCTCCTGCACCCTCGTGGGAGACTCAGAAGCTCTGGGCTCCTGGCTTTGGATTGGTGCCAGCGCCAGCCGTTGCAGCCAATTGGAGAGTGAACCAGTAGATGGAAGACCTCTCTTTCTCTCTGCCTCTGCCTCTCTGTAACTCTGCCTTTCAAATAAATAAATAAACCTTAAAAAAAAAAGTTCATTCATGTTGCTGACAGGATTTCCTTCTTCTTCAAAGGCTGTATAATACTGCCCTGTATGTATATATCATAGACACTTGCTATGGTCCACTGATACTAAATAACTGCATTTTTGTGTTCTGTTTGCTACTACAATTATATACTTATCAAAACAAATGCTTTGAAAATACCATTCTGAACCATAAGTACAATAATATACTGTTATACAATCAAATCATAAAACCTTGGAATAAAATTATTTTAAAAAACAAGCATTTAGCAGTCCTACCCTCTTCCTTTGTCTGTGAAAGACTCTATTACTGTTCCTTCCACTGGACCAGTGGGATCTGCTTTCAATTCTAACATTTCTGCAAGCGCAATTGTTGCTTCTGCCAGAGCCATCAGATTATCACCCTTTAACACAACAATAAAGGTTGTTAATATACATTAATAAATGTTATCTGTAAATGTAAATACCAGGGTCAGAAAGTCACGGTCCTTAACATTAATTATACTTTTCTCTTTAAGCACTAAAAGTATGAAAAGGATGGCAGGAAAAAAGGAAGCAAGGGAGAAAGGGAAGGAATCAACAAGAAAACCTGACCCAGGAACAGATCTTACAAGGGACAAGAAGCTGGTTTTTTTTAAAGGATGGCCATACTTGCTAAACTCCTTCATACGGGAAGGTATTTGAAACAGCAGTTAGGACTCTGCTTGTGATACCCGTATCCCATATGCGAGTGCCAGGGTTTGAGTCCTGGCTCTACCTCCTATCCAACTTCCTGCCAATGAGCACCCTGGGAAACAGCAGGTGATGGCATAAGTACTTGAGTCCCTGCCACCATGTGGGTGATGTGGATTAACTTCCCAGCTTTTGGCCTCCACCTGGCTCATCCCTGGCTGTTGCAAATATTTGGGAAGTGAACCAGTACATGGGAGATCTCTCTCTCTGCTTTTCCAATACTATAAATTTTTTTTTTTAAGATTTATTTATTTGAAAGGCAGAGCTAGAGAGTGAGATCAGGAGACAGACAGACGTGTTCCATCCGCTGGTTAACTCCCTAAATGGCCACAGTGGGCTGGGCCAGGCTGAAGTCAGGAGCTTCCTCTCAGTCTCCCCAATATGTGCAGGGACCAGGGGCTTGGGTTATCCTCTGCTGCTTTCCCAAGAGTATTAGCAGGGAACTGGATTCAAGTGGAGCAGCCGGGACTCAAGCCTGTGCCCATATGGAATGCTAGTGTTGCAGGAGGCAGCATTTCCTGCTATGCCTGAACACCAGCCCCTTAACAATTTTAATGTTAAAAAATATACCTTCATAAACACATTTTCCACCTCCTTCATTTAACAATACAATTGTGATTTCTTCCTCTTTCTTAGTGACGCTACTTTATATTTGAAGTTCTATCCAATTGAACAAGCTTGCATATCTTATTCTCACCTCACTCACTAAAGAATCTTGTAGAGTAAATCAAGCAATACCTACCCTTATTAAATAAGAAAAAGCACTGACTGGCCCAGGCTGTAAGGCATATTCTGCAACCACTCAGCTATGCAGCCCTGAAAAATCACTTCACCCCTCCATCTCCTTTGCTTAGCCACAAAATGAAGATGTTAGATTAGATATTTTTTTCCCTTTAATGACTTATGTTTAGCTAAGAGACTGCTCCCAGTTATTATGGAATCTGAAACAACAGAGAACTGTAGAAAACCTGATGAGTATTCCTCAGATTCATTCCAGTTTACAAAATGCTGCTCCAAAAAGCAGAGCTGTATTTGCTTCACTGCATGAAGCAGTCTTCCACGTGTACCTTGGAAAAGACCTCACCTTCCTTCCTTGTCACTCTCACCCAACTCCTCAGTTCCCTGGCAATCACCTCTGCCCCGTCCAGAGATCTGCCTCAGCAGCTTTACATCTACCTACTCATCGGATGGTACCTGGGCAGAAAAGGTGGTTGACTCTCCTAGTATTTTAATCTGGCTTTCAGAGTAAAATAATAACTGAGGTATAGTGGAAGGATAACAAAGTATGGCAGCATTTTATAAATTCCAGAGGAAAAGAGGCAAGATTTATTAATGGAAGAATAATTTTTAAGCACCATACAGGTAACACATTTATGAAAACATGAAACAAAAAAAATTTTTTTTTATTTAAAAACAAGACTTATTTAAGTCCAAGACCTCCAGCCAGAGTGACCTTGAGGGGGCCAAATCTAATCTGAGGAAAGTAGTGGAGTACAGCACCATTCCTCAGTGAATGATCAGTAAAAGTCTACATTATGAATAAACTGTGAAATATAAGAACGAAAAAAAGAGTAAATTATTGCTTAACAGCAATCTCCTTAGAGATACGAGAATTAGAAAATGCGGATTTAAGAAAAGTATTGAACTTCCTTGGTGTTTTACACTCAGGAAAGAATAGCTGGTAATTTGAAAGAAAATGGAATTAATCATAAATAACATAAAATTTACAGCAACTCAATTCACAGAAACATTCAGTCCCAATTAGTTAACAAAATCAATTAAAATACTTAATTTTTGTATTAATGAAATTTTTATTAGTTTAAATCTCTTAAATCCCCCAAGACATCTATGCTTTTTATTTATAAAAGGCATGAAATACATGTACTTTTCCTATTACTAACAGGATTTGATTTGTGCTTAAAACATTCTTTAGCCTACTATGGCCGTATACCCATATCATTTACCACTTATTCTGTTCATTCTCAATATCTCATAATAAAAGGAAACACATTAGGTTTAGACCCAACTGCCCCTGGATCAACTATGCACCTGTGAACTGGTAACTGATCTCTCTGAGCCTAATTACTAATCTGCCAAATCAAGATGCTGACACCAGCACTAACACCCAAAGGAGTTTTTTTTTTTTTTTTTTTTTAAACAAAATGTGTGTCAAAGCGTTCTTTTCAGGGTGGGTATTTAGTCTAGCTGTTAAGACACCCACATGCCAAACTGTAATACTTTGACTTGATACCTGGTTCTGGCTCCAGTAGTGATGGCTCAGGTGACTAGGTTCCTGCTATTTACTTGGGAGACACAGATTGAGTTCCTGGCTCCCAGATTTGGCCCATCCCAGCCCCGGCTATGGTGGACACTTGAGGAGTGAACCAGAGGATAGAAGTGCTCACACACTCTCCCTTTATCTCTCCCTCTTCCTCTGTCTTCTAATAAACAGATGGTTTGCAGTGTTCTTTAGGTACAATACACGACGTGCATATACATAGCCTTCCTAGCCCGCACGTCTGTCTCTGAGGCGCCCACACTCACCGTCAGTGCAGAGACATGCACTGCTTGAACGTCACCTCCATAATCTTCACACACCAGGTCGTAAGCCAGCAGCTCTTTTTTCACTTTCTCAGGATCAGCCTCAGCTTTGTCACATTTGTTTATGGCAAGGACGATAGGAACTGAAAGAGTCAAGAAGAGGGCAAACAATGATATGTTCAGCTCCACAATGAAAGACACACACGTGTTCTGGCTTTTTCTTCACTCACTGGATTCACTTTTTCAAGAAAAGGCATAAAAGACTCATTTTAGAGTCATACCACCAAACTCATTTCTCTACATGTAAAAAAGGAAACCAGATGCAAGATACTAAAATTATAGCTACAAGCAGGCTCTGAATTAAAAATAGACACATAAAGGTGACCCAAGAAATATTTTGGGAGGGCTGGCACTGTAGCGTAGCAGATAAAGCTGCTGTCTGCAGTGCCGGCATCCCATATGGGCACCAGTTCTAGTCCCGACTGCTCCTCTTCTGATCCAGCTCTCTGCTATGGCCTGGGAAAGCAGCAGAAGGTGGCCCAAGTCGTTGGACCCCCGCACCCAAGTGGGAGACTCAGAAGAAGCTCCTGGCTCGTGGCTTCGGATCGGGCCAGCTCCAGCCGTTGAAGCTATTTGGGGAGTGAACCAGTGAATGGAAGATCTCTCTCTGCCTCTCTGTAACTCTGTCTTCAAATAAATCTAAAAAAAACTTTTTAAAAATAAAGACAGAAATATAATTGATTAAAAAATATTTTGGGTTGAGAAAGGCCTGTCAATAAGCATGAAAGAAGATCAGTAACTACACTGGAGGTAATCTCGGGAAAAAAAAAAAATTGAGAAGGGGCTGCTGCTGTGGCACAGTGGGTTAAAGCTCTGGCCTGAGACACCAGCATCCATATGGGTACAGGTTCAAGGCCTGGCTGCTCCACTTCTGACCCAGTTCCCTGATAATGCACCTGCCAAAGCAGCAGAGGATGGCCCAAGTCCTTAGGCCCTTGCACCCATGTGGAAGGAAAGAAGCTGGAAGAAGCTCCTGGCTCTTGGCTTCAGATCAGCTCAGCTATGGCCATTGCACCCATCTGGGGAGTGAACCAGCACATGGAAGACATCTCCCTGTCTCTACCTCTTTTTCTTTAACTCTTTCAAATAAATAAAATAAATTTTTAAAAAAATCAAGAAAAGAGCTGGCGCCGTGGCTCAATAGGCTAATCCTCCACCTTGCGGCGCCGGCACACCGGGTTCTAGTCCCGGTCGGGGCGCCGGATTCTGTCCCGGTTGCCCCTCTTCCAGGCCAGCTCTCTGCTATGGCCAGGGAGTGCAGTGGAGGATGGCCCAGGTGCTTGGGCCCTGCACCCCATCGGAGACCAGGAAAAGCACCTGGCTCCTGGCTCCTGCCATCGGATCAGCGCGGTGCGCCGGCTGCAGCAGCGGCCATTGGAGGGTGAACCAACGGCAAAGGAAGACCTTTCTCTCTCTGTCTCTCTCTCTCACTGTCCACTCTGCCTGTCAAAAATAAAAAAAAAAAATCAAGAAAAGACCTAATTCAATATCATCAGTTAATTTGATTCGTCTTCCCTGGCTCTATGTGAAACCTCATATCTCATCCTGATTTGAAACTAAGCATCAGTACTGCAAATTTTCTTTTAGATTTATAGCAACTCTTTGTTCTTACACCTAGCTCAGTGACAAAACATATGGCAGGCTCTCAACAAATATTTACTTAATGACTGAATCAAATAATCGTGTAATATCCTTGTCATTACTAGACATACCTTTTTTTTTTTTTTAAAGATTTATTTATTTATTTAAAAGGCAGAATTACAGAGAAGTAGAGGCAGAGAGAGAGGTCTTCCATCTGCTGGTTCACTCCCCAAATGGCTGCAACACCAGAACTGGGCTGATCCGAAGCCAGGAACCAGGAGCTTCTTCTGGGTCTCCCACCTGGGTTCAGGGGCCCAAGGACTTAAGCCATCTTCGACTGCTTTCCCAGGCCATAGCAGAGAGCTGGATCAGAAGTGGAGCAGTCAGGACTCAAACTGGTGTTTATATGGTATGTCGGCGCTGCCAGCGGCGGCTTTACCAGTTATGCCACAGTGCTGGCCCCTAGACATACCTTCTTGTTAAATATATCATACAAAATTCTAGGAGATAAGTATCTGGTTGAGTTTCAGCATCTCTGCAATTTTCTTAGGTTATTAAAGGAATATAAATTGAAAAAGTTACCAAGAAAAGCTTTATAACTCACAATTTACTACTGTGAAACAGTATATGTTTACAAACTGCAACTTAATGGGGACCAAGAGAATAAGTATAAAAAGCATAATATAAATTTATTCCATCTCAACCAACTGCTTTGTTACGCAATCCCTAGTAAATTTATTCCTGTCTGCTTCTGCCATGTATTGCCTAAAATCATTCCCTTTCTTCCACTTATTTCTAGAATCATTATAGAATCATTAAGAGCATAACATATAACAGGTTTTTTTTTTATTTTTTGAAGAATTAAAAGTTTTTGAAGAATTATAAAGGGAGAGTAACACTGGAACCTGGAAGATCCAAATTCTAAAGGCAGACAAGTTGTAGATTAGCAGAACAACTGTATTGGTAGAGTACTGGCTGAGACTGTGTCTTAGTTTTCATATTCTAAGGTCAAAGAGAGGTTGGCGCTGTGGCATAGTGGGTAAAACTGCCGCCTGCAGTGCCGGCGTCCCATATGGGCGCTGGTTCAAATCCTGGCAGCTCCACTTCCGATCCAGCTCTCTGCTATGGCCTGGGAAAGCAGGGGAGGATGGTCGAAGTCCTTGGGCCCCTGTACCCACGAGGGAGACCTGGAGGAAGCTCCTGGCTCCTGGCTTCAGATTGGCACTGCTCCAGCCATTGCAGACAATTAGGGAGTGAACCAGTGGATGGAAGACCTCTCTCTTTCTGCCTCTGACTTTCAAATAAATAAATAAATAAATAAATCTTTTTTTTTTTTAAATCAAAGAATTGGACAAGATCAGTGATTCTTAATCATTTTTTTCTCCCTTGCTAGCACACTTCTGAGAAATATGATCTACTCTATTTTAAGAGACAATGAATATACAGAATATGTGTGTGTTGTTAGTCATCACAATTTTTTGAAAATTTTTCTTTATTTTTACTTATTTGAAAGACAGAGAAACAGAAAGATGTAGACAGAGGCAGAAAGACAGAGATCTTCCATCTACTAGTTTACTTTCCAAATGCCCACAGTAGCTGGGCCTGGGCCAGGCTGAGGCCAAGAACTCAGAACTCTCTCTGGGTTTCCCACCTGGGCAGCACGGACCCAGCTACTTGAGCTGGGTTGCACTCTAGCAGGAAGCTGGAATGTCAGCATATTAATCACTGCACCAAACACCTGCTTTTACTACAAATAAATAAGAGAGAAGGCAGCCCAATGACTTTCTACAAGTTTCCATTTTATATACTTCATCAAATAAAAACTTATTTACAGCAGATGAAGAAGTTTCTCTCTAGAGAAGAATTCCAGATAATAAACAAATAACAGAATAGCATCACTATGCAAATTCTAATGATTTAGCTGATAAGTAAATGAGTTCACTATTCTGTTCTTTTTTTTTTTTTTTCCTACTTAAATTTGAGAGGCAGAGAAAGTCACAGACAGAGAAAAAGAGCTTCATCTACTGGTTTACTTCTCAAATATCCATAATGGCAGGGACTAGAACAGCGCAAAGTTGGGGTCCAGAAATTCAGCCCGAGTCTCCCATGTACATGTCAGGGACCTGACATCACCCAAGCTTCCTAGGGTTTGAATAAGCAGAATTTGAAATAAGGAGTTGAAATTCAAAACAGGTACTATGATGTGGGCCACAGGCATCTTAACTGCTAGGCAAAATGCCCCCATCTATTCTTACTTTTGCTATCTGTTTAAATTTTCCATGACAGAAAGTTTAAAACAAAAGCCTTAGTAGGGGAAAGACTATGCTTGTGGTTACAAGGCCCAAGTCTCCTCCTATTAGTTGTAAGTCTATGGGAAAACAATTTAATTGTCATTGAGGCTTATCTATAAAATGCATATAATAATTCGGGACTGCAATGAAGAGTAAATGAGCTACATGTAAACAGCCCAAGAAATGCAAATGTTAGTAGGTCCTTAAGAACGAAAAGGAGGGGTCTACACTGTGGTGCAGCGGGTTAATGCCCTGGCCTGAAGCACCGGCATTCAGGCATCCCATATGAGTCGGTTCGAGACTCAGCTGCTCCACTTCCGGTCTAGCTCTCTGCTACGGCCTGGGTAAGCAGTAGAAGATGGCCCAAGTCCTTGGGCCTCTGCACTGCATGGGAAACCTGTAGGAAGCTTCTGGGTCTTGGCTTCAGATTGGCGCAGCTCTGGCCGCTGCGGCCAATTGGGGAGTGAACCAGTGGGTGGAAGACTCTCTCTCTTTCTCTCTCTCTCTTTCCCTCCTCTCTCTAACTCTGACTTTCAAATAAAATAAATAAATCTTAAAAAAAAAAGAAAGAAATCATCAAAGTTGAGCCTTTAAAAAAAAAAAGAAAAGGAACTTCCTGATACACATAAGGCAGCTGCACTGTACCTTGAGCATCTTTGGCATGCTGAATAGATTCTACAGTTTGTTTCATCACCCCATCATCTGCAGCTACAACCAATACAATGATGTCAGTGACCCGAGCACCTCTGGCTCTCATTGCTGAAAAGGCAGCATGTCCTGGAGTATCAAGAAAGGTAATCTTTTCCCCAGAAGGCATTGTGACTGTGGAAAGAGAAATCCAAGAATACCAAGGACCCTTAGTTTGAATGAATATATTTGACAGTTTTGAACATTTTATTTCTTGCATTAATTTTAATCAGAACAACACAGATTATTATCTCATAATGAAAAATTATCAAACACCAGTGAAAACTTCAGGGTCTTCTTTCCATGAAATAATTTCAAGCTAACACTCTTCGTATTTCCAGCCTGTAAGAACTTTCCTAAATGTACTGACAGCTGTTCTGCAGACAGAACAGATCAACAGTTGCACAGGCACCATCTGCACACCAAGGCTCCACAACTACCTTGAGCCACAGAAGGCACTTTAGTATACAGCTAATAGTTTATAATTTGAATCCAGCAACCTTGGGTTTAAATTCTGACTCTGCCACTTATTAGCTATGTAGTTTGGAAAGTTACTCGACCTGAAGAATTCCCAGCCTCCTTATCCTCCATAAGTAAGCATATGGATACCTATCTCATGACACTGCTGCGAGGATAAGTATGCAAGGTGTGCAGCACAAGCTAAGTGCTCAGCAAATGGGGGCCATTATTTAATTATTAGTAGAACATTATCAAAACCTAGTATTGGAGGTTTTATAAACATAATTCATTGACTAATGAAAAACATTAGGCTTATTAAACCAAACTAAGAATGAACTAGAATAAAAAAAGTAACACGATGTTTTTCTTAAAGAAAATACAAAATAATTGCTCTATACATTTCATTAATCCATTGGTTTTAAGCTTTAGCCTTTGCTTTACTTTGAATTTGTATATTTCATACTGATGTTTGGTTTAAGAAAATACTAAGTGGGGTTCCCAAGTATGTTGAAGGTAATTTGTATTCATACCAAGAAAGGCACCAATGTGCTGAGTGATGCCTCCAGCTTCCATTGCTGCCACTTGAGTTTTTCGAAGTTTGTCAAGTAACGTCGTTTTCCCATGATCAACATGGCCCATTATAGTAACAACTGGGGACCTTGGGGTTAATAAAGCTGCATCTGCCTGAGGCCTACAATTGATAGCAAAGGAGTTTCATTTCTTAAATATCAAAAACACTTTATAACCTGTAAATGGTTCACAGTTATCTCCGTGAGTTACCATCAATGATAAAATCCAACATTCAGCTTTCATTAGCTGCAACTATTTTCTTATTCTGTACACGTAATAACGACAGAATATTAAATGACTGCCTATCTACAGTTGGCATCTTAACAATGACCAGTACTGGATCAAATTTAAAATTTTAGACCAACATATATATTCAGCAAACTCTGAAAAATAACTCAGAGTTTTTATAACCTAAATATACTTTCTGATGCTTCAGGCATTTTGAAGAAAAGTTTACCTATACCCACACATCATTTTAATTACTAAAAAAAGAACTGATTTTTTTTAAAGGCACATCTTTCCACTAAAAATTATTTATAAAATTATGTGGTTTCTCTTCCCCAGCATATATGGGTTTTACCTTCTTACCGCATCCTTATTTTCTCTCACTTTGTCCTGTTTTAATTTGCTCCATTTCAACTTCATCCCAGCCTTCTTAATCACTTCTTTGATCCAGACTTCTTCTAAATGTGAGTCTGCTTCCAGGGAGTCTACATCCAATGGCAGTGTTCAATAAAGCTTCATACACATAATCTGATGGGAATGAAATAAAACTTTGCAAGATCATTAACTAAATGCTAATGGAAGAAACCTCTATTAATAAAAGTCTATACAGTACACTCAAGCAGAGGAATAAGTATATAAGTTGTTTTTATAATGTTAACAAATCACAAATAAGCAAAAAACCTATATACGATGTACCATAATGACATTTCTGCATATTCATAAATATTTGAATATTTATTTACCTCCTAAACCATCTGAATCATCAATAAAACATTAAATTGCATGTTATACACATTTAGTCCATTTCTTGACAACTTAGCCACATACATCATGTATATCTTAATATAGGTGTATATACAAAAAATTCTTGTTATTTGAATATATTCTATGAAGTCATCACAAATACTTTATTAGCAAATACCCAATCTTTGCTCTCAGCAGAAATACAGCGTTAGGTTCCTACAAGTCTAACATCTCAAACAATTCATCAATTGTTTATATATAATCTTATTTTATTACAGGTGAAACACATGTTATAAAATATACTTGTATAAAGTTGATTCATGAACATTGAATTCACAGCCAGTAGCACTACAACCAAAGCCTGAACACGATTATCAAAGTATTTTCTATGAAAGGCACATCATTGTGTTCTTGCTCTTAGGAACCCAGCACTTCAGCACTACAATGAGACCATTTTAAACAGTAAAATCACCGATGATAAGCATAAAAGCTCATAAAATGTGGTAATATATTACCATAAAAAGGGCATTTGTAGGGCCGATGTCTTGGTATAGCAGGTAAAGCCACTGCTTACAGCAGCAGTATCCCATTTGGGTGCCCATTCGAGTCCCAGCTGCTCCATTTCCAATCCAGCTCCCTGCTAATGCACCTGGGAAAGCAGCTGAAGATGGCCCAAACCCTCCCACGCAGAAGACCCAGATGAAGCTCTTGGTTCCTGGCTTCAGATTGCCCCAGCTCTGGCCACTGAGGCCACTTGGGGAAAGAACCAGTGGATGGAAGATGTCTCTCTGTCTCTCCCTCTTTCTCTCTAACTCTGCCTTTCAAATAAATAAATACATATTAAAGGGGGGGCATTACAGTGTAAGAGCAAAAATAAGGTACAGCATCACCTAGATCAACCTCAGCTGGAAACAGGGCCTTGGGTGACTCAAAATTTCATCACCTTGTACAAACTCAAAAATAACCAAAAAAACACCCTGATTATTGAATTTCGAGTGAAAACAATATTTTAGCCAGAAGATGAATTTTTAAATACAGAATCAATGAATAATGGACAGTTTATACACACACATATACAGTATCTCAGAATATATACATACATATTTTATTATTTTATGTATCTACTTAGGGTATCTAAAATGTTCTGAAATACAAGAAAAATACTTATTTTAATGTGTTCCATTATAATCTTAGTCAATTTCCCTGTGGATAATAAAGAAATGTATCTGTGATGATAATGGAGTCATGTTCACCAGTAATGTCCTAAGCACCTCACAATTATTTATTTCAAGACCTTAAGGCTTCCAAAATACTTAATATTCTCCAGTTATTTTTCAGTTATGTTCCATGAGAGCTCTAGTCTAGACCCTACCACAAGATAAATAAAGTATTAAACTAAAAGAACATTCTACTCAGTAGTGTGCTGGTGAGAGTTTATAACTAAGCTCTCCCCTCAACACCACACACACACACACACACACACACACACACATCCCTAACACAGCATCTCTCAATTTTCATGGTAGAAATAATCCCATTATGGTTCATGGTTTATCTTAATCTAGATGTCTCATGCGGGAGACTGCTTTTTTTTTATTACTTGTGTGGGTTTTTTTAAGCATTGAAGGATTTTTTAAAAAAGCTTTTATTTATTTATTTGAGAGGTAGAGTTAGAGAGAGAGGTAGAGACAGACAGAGAGGTCCTCCGTCCATTGGTTCAGTCCCCAAATGGCTGCCGTGGTTGGAGCCGAGCTGATCTGAAGCCAAGAGCTAGGAGCTTCTTCTGGGTTTCTTACTCAGTTGCAGGGACCCAAGCACTTGGGCCATCTTCCACTGCTGCTTTCCCAGGCCATAGCAGAGTTGAATCAGAAGACGAGCAGCCGAGACTAGAACTGGTGCCCATATGGGATGCCTGCATGGCAGGTAGAGGCTTAGCCCCACTATGCCACAGCGCCAGCCCCTCTTCCCGCCCCCTTTTTTAAAGGCAGAGTTATAGGGATAAAGGAAGAGACAGAGATCGTCCATTTGCTGGTTCACTCCCCATATGTCCACAATGGTCAGTGCTGGGCCAGCCCAAATCCAGGAACCTGAACTCCATCGGGTCTTCCTTGTGGACTGCAGGGGCCCAAGCACTCTCTCCACTGCTTTCCCAGGTGCATTAGAGGGAGTTGGATGGAAGTGGAGCTGGGAATTGAACTGGCATACATATGGGATACCAGCATTGCAGACAGCAGCTTCACTGGCTGTACCACAACACCAGTCCTAAGGGACTTCTTTAGCAATCACCCATTGCTTCTTAGAATGGTCATTAGCAGGAAGCTAGACTGGATGCAGAGCAACCAGGACACAAACTGGATGCTTCAATATGTGTTATGGGTATAAAACAGCAATTTAACCACTGGGCTAAATGCCTGTCCCTCAAGCTATTTTGTTAAAGATGTATTTATTTATTTGAAGGCAGAGTGACAGAGAGACAGAGACAGAGATCTCCCATCTGCTGGTCCTCTCTCTAAATTTCTGCAACAACCAGGACTGGGCCAGGCTGAAGTCGAGCTGGTACTAAATCTGAATTTCCTACTGGTATTGATAGGGACCCAACTACTTCAGGCATCACCTGCTGCTTCCTGGGGTGTGCATAAGCAGGAGGCTACAACTGGGGCAGAGTCAGGACTCAAATCCAGGCACTCTCATATGGGATGCAAGCATCACAAGAGGTATCTTAACCACTGCACCAAACATCTGCACCAATATTATTTCTACAATTGTACCAATGTAGATTTCCTTGAAAAAATTTCAAATGATGTAGCCATATCCATTTATTCCTTAAAGTTTTCCACTTAAAAATAATCACAAAATCTAGGGTGGGATATACAGCAGCAGCTAAGATGC